TGCCATCAAAAAGCGGTCTCTAATGATTGCCGGAACTAATGAGACACAAGTGGTGGACAATGAGACCACACAAGAGATTATTGATTTACTCGACAGTGACAGCGACGGCACTGAAGACACTACTGATGTATCGTCGACAGCACAGCCGGTGTTCTTCAGCATTGTCTGTCCGGTGAACGCATGTGGCAAACGGTATCCAAACAAGTATTACTTCAAGAAACACGTGATGGCCGCACACCCGGGCATAAACGTGCCGATGACAGCACGCGTTAAGCCCTATCCCTGTCCGCGAATGGATTGTTTAAAAAGCTATCAATCGGTTCAATCACTGCAGCAACACATCCAGATCTACCACCGATTACCTACAGCACCGGCTGCGACGACAACAACAACAGCTTCGGCCACAACAACAGCAACTAATACGTGTCCGCACGACGGCTGCGGCAAAGTGTTTCTCTTCCAACACGGCCTCAACCAACACATCCGTACCGCCCATTCAGTACTGCCCGACTATTTGCATCAACAAATGCAACAAACTGTGGAGCGCTCGGCACCGGCACCGAAGCCATCACCGCAGCTGAAGCCCTATCCGTGTCCGCACGACACGTGCGGCAAATGGTTTTCGTCCATTCAATCCCTAAAGAACCACAACCTCACTATGCATTCAGTACTGCCAGACTATCTGCGGCAACACATCCGGTCTGTCGAGCACTCGCCGCAAAGCCAAAGCCTAACAGCTAAACCGTATACGTGTCCGCACGACGGCTGCGGTAAAGGGTTTGCCTCCAAACAATACCTCACTGTTCACGTAATGAGCGCCCACTCTATGAGACAGTAGGCTGTTATGCGTTGTCGTGTGGCCACTGATTAGAGTCATTATGATATTCCCCGGCCTTCGGGTACTACACATGTATTATCATTACGCTCTCTCTCTCTCCCTAATTGTGATATTTTAAATATAAATCTTAAGTTTTGAATTTAAATATAAAGCTATTTAACATTTTTCTACATATTTCTCATATGATATGTCATTTATATAACAATTTGATTGTGTTTTGAATTAAAATTACGTTTTTATGACACTTTGAAAGTCTATATTATTTTTAATAACAATCAAATAATATTAATTAATCATAAATAACATTAAAGTTTAGATAGTTAAGTTAAATAGTCTAAACTATGTGTGTAATTAAACTAATGGTATATTAGTATAGAGTTGTGATATAAAGGGGTACTAAATGTTTGTCACATTTCCGTACGTTTTATATGGAAGTTGTTTTAGCGCTTGTTTTGATTGAACACAACATGTGATGACCGCATGTTATATCACAACATATTGTGATTACATATCATGTTATAAAATAAAGTGCAATTTGAATCTGTGTTTAATTATAATTAGTTGTTTTCAATGTCTGTAATACTTGTCAACGACCTGTTGGATGAGTTGCGCGAAGACAACCACAGACTTCACAAAGAGTTGTCATTTGAGCGACAATTGTGTGAATGTTTGGCAAATATTTATGAAAAATCATTAGTTTTGATAAACAATTGTAAATGCAATCAAAATATTGAGATATTTCACGATTTGATTAAATTTGAGAAACACTACCACTCGTTGATTAACACACAAAATGTGGACACAAATGAATGCAACGATAAATCAGGTATTGATTCATATATTACCCTAATTTCTAGACTTTAAACCACGGCTTATATGAGGAAAACAATAATAAATTATATTTTATTTCAAAGTAGACAACGAAGAAGTGCTCAAAAATAATGACAAAACAACTGATCCTATGTTTGCGGAGTCAACACAATCTTTACTACAAGTGTTGGCCACCGATGCGATCGATATCATTGAACCCAATGTCGTGTCCATTGACTTGAATCCCACTGAAAGTGTTAAACAAAACACTTATCCAATAGTTTCCGGTATTTAATAACAAATAACTTTCATTTTATTGAATATTTTAGTCAAACTTTTATTCACATTTCTTCGGCAGATAATGGCCTCGAAGTTCAGCCACCGATCGGTGATTACGGGACACAATGTGTGGCCACAGCGGCGGACAAGTCGTTGAAAGCGCAAGAGATTATTGATTTACTCGACGACAGCGACACCGAAGACACGGCCGCACAACCGGTGGCCACCAATCAAGTGACTGATATCGGGCTTCAAAACCCAATACTCACTGAACTGTTGAACGAAGACACGTGTAATTCGATGGACACAGCGATCGCCTCTCAAGGCACGGCACCGGCAACTGATCCCGGAGTCTATCAATGCCTCGAGTGTCTCAAAATATTTACCACAAAACAAGGCTTAAGGATACACAACGGTATGTTTCACCGGAAACCTGTGGATCAGTTGCAAGCGTCCGGTAACCAACACTTGACAGTGGCTCAGGTGGGCGGACACATCATCGCTGGTTTTGTTAAGAACTTGACGCCAATACCAGCCGTACATAACAGCAGTCAAAGCAACGGTAAATCTAGTGTTGATTTGTTTTAATAATTATTTTTATATTTTATTTATTTTAATTAAATTAAGACACTGCACCGGCAACTGATCCCAAAGCCAATCGATGCCTCGAGTGTCGCAAATCATTTACCACAAAACACGGCTTAAAAATACACAACGGTTTAGTCCATCCGCCGCCACCATATGATCAACAGGAATGGTCTCCATCGACATCGACTCGTCAGTTGGCCAAATCCGCGGTCGCCGGTAAACGTGTGGACATTACGCCGATTACAACGCCCGCGCTTAACGTCAGCCAAAGCAACGGTACACCAAGTGTTAACACATATAGTGTACGCCCAAAGAAGCGGCCGCTCATTGACACTAATGAACCACAAGTGGTGAACAAACAACCGGCGCAAGAGATTATTGATTTGCGTGACGACAGCGACACTGATATAGAGGACGCGCAGCCGGTGTTATCACCGGCTGTCAGCAGTCACACCATCGACGACGATAATAGCGGCGTCGACGCCATCGCCTGTCCAGTGGACACGTGTGGCAAACGGTATCCAAACAAGTATTGCTTTAAGAACCACGTGATGGCCGCCCATCCGGGTGTAGTCGTGCCGATGACGCCACGGGTTAAGCCCTATCGGTGTCCGCGCGTCGATTGTTTCAAAAGCTTTCTATCGGATCAGTCTCTGCAGCAACACATCCAGACTAACCACAAGTCTTTACAGCAGACCTCAACTCCGACCAAATCGGGCACTCATTTGTGTCCGCACAACGGCTGCGGTAAAGCGTTTGTGTTCAGACACGGCCTGAATCAACACATCCGTACTGTCCATTCATTGACTGTCACGCCGTCCCAACTGAATCCGTGTCCGCAAGTCGGGTGCGATAAGGGTTTCTCGTCGGACCAGGATTTGCAACAACGATCGCTGACTATCCGCCTCTCGGCACTGCCGGCCGACCCCAAGACATCACTAAAACGTTTTCCGTGTTCTCACGACGGGTGCGATATGTGGTTCTCGTCGGACCAGTATATGCGGACACATGTTGTATCTGCACACTCGACACCACCCGCACCAAAGCCATCGCAATCACTTAAGCCGTATCCGTGTCGGCACGACGGCTGCGGTAAAGGGTATTCATCCAAACAAAACCTCAATTTTCATATAATGAACGCCCACTCTATACCACAGTAGGAGCTTATGAATCGTGCGCTCATTGTTTTAAGTTATCTATAAATTGTTTTGTTAAATAACAAGTTCTCTCTCTCTCTCTCTCTCTCTCTCTCTAATTGTGATATTTTAAATATAAATCTTAAGTTTTGAATTTAAATATAAANCTCTCTCTCTCTCTCTCTCTCTCTCTCTCTCTCTCTCTCTCTCTCTCTCTCTCTCTCTCTCTCTCTCTCTCTCTCTTACTTTGTGATATTTGTAATACAAATTATGTTCAGAACTAACTTTAAAACTTTTTGTATTTTCTACCCATTAATCATTTGATATGCAATTTATATTACAATTTAATTATGTTTGAATTAAAATTATATTTTTTTCTCTAAATTATGTTTAACTTTAATTACATTAAAAGTTTATACCGTTTTCAAGATTAACCAAATAATTAAATATTTATAAATAACGTTAGGGTTTATGACTAAATAAGTGCCAAAACCAATGGTATATTAGTATAGAGTTGTGATATAAGAGGGTATTAAATGTTGTTTACATTTCCACACGTTTTTGACGTATTCATATTAAAGCACTTGTTTTGAGCAAAACATGTGATTAACTGTTAAAATAAAGCCGTATTTTAATAGTAATTAAATTTAAGTATATGTTTCAATGTCTGTAATACTGATCAACAGAGTAATGATATATATTCATTTATAAGCAGTCAAATATGCCATATAATATGCAATTAAAATGTCCAAAATATGCGCTTAAATATGCATTTATTATTCATCAAAATATTAATTAATAGTACAAATTAAGCATATTTATAATTAGTTAATCAGTAAAACATTGAATTATTACGTATTGTTTGAGATTTTCCTCTTCAAAATTCAACCGATTGTCTGTTAAAACTAATTTTAATTTAGAAAAACTGCGCTCAATATCACAGTCAGTAATTGGACACAATTTAAAGGCAGATATTTCATCGGGACTTAAATCCATACCAATGTTTACGTCGATTTTACCATTCAATACATCATTAATAGCTTTTATTCGTTTAAATCCTTTGTTTTTCTTCAAAACCTTTTCTAGCTTTTTGAAAATCAATTGTCCGGTAATTCCTTGAACTTGTTTGAGATTTTCAAATACTGAGTCTACTATTTGTATGCTTTCATTGAGAGGCAATCCATTTGTTTGCAAAACTTTTAGAGCATTTGAAATACTATTGTAATTGCTGTAAATGAATGCAATTTCATTTTTAATGTCTGATTTGTCGACCAATTCTTGTGCTTCTAGTATGAAAGCTGAGTCTTCAGGTGATAATTGTTTGACTACTTGTGAAAACATTTCGAAATATTTAGCGTAATATTCGACTCCATTTAACCATAGACCCCAACGGGTCGGGACAGGTTCGGGAGGTAGTGGTATATTGGGAAACATCTCATTAAACAATTCAACACGATTTGGAGCTTTTCGGAAGACCTTTTTGCCACAACTTATTAATCGGTTGACGTCTTTGTAGCGCACCATTAGATACTGACATACGTTATGCAAGCCATGGGCGAGACAAGTAAGATGTGTTAATTTCGGGAAAGTTTGGGTTAAAGTTTTGCCCGCTTTCTTCATGTAGTGGGCGGCGTCTGTTACTAACAACAGGACTTTTGGGAACTCAATACCATTTGGCCATAAAATATTAAGACTTTCCATAACTGTTTGTACAATTGTGTAATTATTTGCTTTTTCAACAAACTTTAAATTCAATAAAAATCTATCGGTATTTTCCATATTCATTGAACCGACGATCACATTAACTACTTTGCGATTGAGTTTATCTTGAGTCTCGTCCACTTGAACCCAAATGTATTGACCGCGTAATCGATTTCTTATGGCTGTAATCGTATTATCATAAAGTGGTTTCAATTCGTTTCTCCATAATTGTGACGGAAATGGTGTCTTAAATGAAGTATATTTCTCAAAGAAATGCTTAGCTTCTGGTTTTAAGAGGCGATTGAATGGTATATTCAATGCAATCATAAAACTTGTTAAATCTGTATTAAATTGTGATTGACTTTTGTTGAGTAGATCTGTCACCGGTTGTTGTGTTGATTTCCATTTAGTAGACTTCAATTTATGGTTATTAGTCCCGATGTGCTGTCGGACAGTACATTTGCGGTCACTATTAACCACTGTTTCACAACACTCACAGTACAGCACATGTTTCTTTGAAATTTCATTAGTTTTAACAGTTAATGTCTTACAGTCTTTATTAAATTCTCTAATAAACCTTTTCATTCGACATAATTCGGGTTCTTTTGGTTTCACCATATTTTAAATTAGTATTTAAATACAATTTAATGACAAACACTTTATTTGAGACATAATGCAAACGTATTTTTAACGCATATGACACATGTGCCCAAATATGCGCTTAAAAAGCATTTACAGTTCAAATATGCGCTAAGGCATGAAATATGCATTTATAAACTCGGCTAAAGTGACCCCCAGTATATGATCGGTGGACATCCGGACACTCACACCGATACTATGCACCGCTAAATATATGCATTTATGCAAATTTCATTACTCTGCTGATCAATGATTTGATGGATGAGTTGCGCGAAGACAACCAAAGACTTTGCAAAGAGTTGTCATTTGAGAGACAATTGTCGGACTGTTTGGAAAAAATTAGAGAAAACTCATTGGATTTGATAAATAATTGTAAATGTAATCAAAATATTAAAATATTTCACGATTTGATTAAATTTGAGAAAAATTATCACTCATTGAAAAACACACAAAATGTGGACAACAATGAAATCAACATTAAATCAGGTATTGGTTTACAGTTTACTATTTAATATTTTAATTACATTTTTCCTGCCATTTGTTTAGCAGACAATGGCCTCGAAGTCTTGCCACCGATCGGTGACGACGGGACACAAGCGGCGGATAAGCAGTTAAAAGCCAAACAAGAGATCATTGATATACTGGACGACAGCGACAGCGAAGATACGGACGCAACGCCAGTCACTCAATCGCTGCCCACAAAAGCAGTCACTCCAATGGTTCCAACGGCTAATGTCCACCACTACGGGACTGCAGCGGTCACTGCTAATCAAACGGCTGATATATGGCTACAAAACACGTTAATAACTCAGCTGTTGAACAAACCCACGCGTAATTCATTGGACACAAACAGCGCATCTCAAGCCACGGCACCGGCAACTGGTTTACAGTTTACCCTAATTTATAGACATTTAAACCACGGCTTAAATTAATTGTCTCTTATTTTGCATATGAAAGGCGTGAATGAAAACTCGACAAAAACAAGTGATGAAACAAATCAAGTGATAATCAATGCGAAGACACCACCGATGGGACAGTTATGCAGCACTGGATTCTCACAACCGATATTACCGGCCATAAGTGACGAGCAAACAAGTGATCATTTAGTGGCCATCTCTGAAACCGATTCAATGGACAATACCATTGATTCTTATGTCATATTCATCGGAGGTATAAATCAAATCGACGGTATTTTAGACATCAATTTAAATATAATAACATTTGTTAAAAACATAATTTGTATATTAAATCAGAAAATAGCGAATCAATTGAACCGATGTTTGCGGACACATCAGTGGACAACACAACTACACTGACGGACACCACCGAAGACACGGAAATAATAATGGACTCGAATACTATACTCAATGATGACACAGATATTGATAAAACTACTGATGAGTGGCCGCAAGACATAACAAATGTCACCCAAGAGGACAATTCCGACGCTAATCACTGCCGCATATCTCGGCAGACATTCCCCACAAGAAACGACTTCCAAACGCACACAAGTCTGGTTCACAGCAAACTTCAGGCGAATTACGTTTGCGGTGATTGTGGTCAGGCGTTTAACTTGTACTCCCTGTTGATCACTCATCGGTACTCCCGTCACACCATCGCGAAGACATCGCATAACATCACTACAACAGATCCGTCGGCAGCGAAGGCGACGGCTTATTGGTGCCATAAATGCGACAAATTATTTCCAACAAAACGTGGTCTCCAGACACACGACGGTATCGTTCACTCGTTGAAGCCTAACATTACATCAGATGACAATTGGATGGCCGGCGACCATAACTATAGCCGAATCAATGGTGAATAAAGTATTCATTTATATATAAATTATATACATTTTTTCGGCAGTTAATGGCGGCGATGGGAAGCCAGCGCTGGACTCACAACAGACCAGTAGTTCAAACGATGTCAGCGATTCTCAAGACAGTACCAAATCATTGATCAATAGACAACCCATCGATGGCAGCGCCGCCATTGACTGGGCAGTGGACGCGTCCGGTAAACGATACCGAAACGAGTATTTCATGGATAAACCCGTGACGACCGCACACCCGGCCTCGCAGAAGCCCTATCTGTGTCCGCGCGCCCACTGTTTTAAGATCTTTCAATCGGACGAGTCTCTACAGCAACACATCCAGTCTGCGCACCACTCGTCGGCGCCGCCGCTCGAAGTGCCGCTCCATATGTGTCCGCACGAGGGCTGCGACAAGAAGTATGATTTCGTTGATTGTCTCACTCTTCACATCCGGAAAGTGCACTCACAGTCAGTCGGGGTCGCGCCGGCGGTCGATCGCAAGCCGTATCCGTGTCGGCATCGCGGGTGCGGTCGAGCCTTTTCATCGCAACTGTGTCTCAACGGCCACATTAAGAGCGCCCACTCCACTCATGGATCCGCGCTTTAATTGAAAGTATTATAATTAAAGTTTCGCTCGCTCTCCCTCCCTCTCTCCCTCTCTCTCTCTCTCTCTCTCTC